CTCACCGGCCCGCTCTCGCCGCCCGCTGCTGCCGCCTCACCGGCCCGTTCTCACCGCCGGCTGCTGCTGCCTCACCGGCCCACTCGCCGCCAGCTGCTGCCGCCTCACCGCCTGCTCTCGCCACTAATGTCGCTCCAGCCCACACTCGATTTGCTGTTGCTACAGGACACAGCCCACGAGCTCAGCTCCCTCCATGTGGTTCCAGGTCATGACCCAACTTCTCCTCGACTCCTTAGGTAGTTAAAGGGGTGTTAGAATTGCTACAGAGAGGAGAGAGAAGAAGAAGAAAAAGAAAGGAAAAGGAAAAGGAACTGGCGAGCAGAGTGGAAGTTCGAATGGAGCAACTTAGCCTGCCGCCATCTTGCTGGATCTTGGGCTTGGCATGAAATAGAATTAATATGGATAGACACTACGAGTAGTTGGAGTCCGAAATTGTTCATGGGGAAAATGTTATAGGCCTTTTAGCATTGCCTGTTGGGCAGTGCATTACACAATAAATTATTGGGGCTTGTAACAAAGACAATGCAATAATTTTGGGGCTTTTAATCTTCACATAGAGTAGGACAATTAAATAGGCAAGGGAAATCTAGAACATGAGATTGTAGAATGTTCTTCTGATAATTTCCTAGAGCAATACATCATGGAACAAAACAGTTAGAATGCTATTTTAATTCTGGTATTGTGTTAAAAACCAAGACTGCTTTGTAAACTCAGAGTAAAAGACTCACTGGGAATATTTTTTTCATAATTTAGTTCTTTGTTAAACATGAAAATGATGTACTCTGATCACAAAAGAGAATGTCAAACTCATTGAAAAATACACATCTAAGGGGAGAACTGGTAATGGTTGATGCGGTAAATAGATTAAAATGAATTGAGATAGATAAAATGAAAAATATTTCAAGAAATATTTTGAATGTTTAACAAGAATATTTTCCATTAAAGATGACTGACTGATTCAGGAAGTTAAGGATAGCAGTAAATTATAGGGTGTTAAGGATAGTAGTACAGTCGGTTCTGCTATAACGCATGTTCGATCAACACGTATTGGCTGTTACGTGATTGAGGAATAGGGAAATGCTATTTCTAAAACGCGAACTTGTGTTGTCTGTAATGCGATTCCATCGGTGCGTGGAGGAGTACATGTCGACACCACGATCATTTCATGGGCTTTGTCGTAAATACATACAATGTTAGCGCTGAGCAAGTCTTCGCACCGGCATCACGTGATCATTTCTCAAGCTTTGTCGTGAAGTGCTTTCTGTAAGAGGTATAGCATAACCTCCTCCCCCATCTAGTCATCTTGACATTTTTTCAAGGTAAAGTGTTAAATTTACTTTTATTTCATTATTAGATATGAATTAAGCATTTATTCAAATTGTGCTATCCTTTGTGTTAGGCCTTTGAGTGATTTTTCAGCGATTTTGAGTGATTTTGTTTTTGGTGGTCTACCCTAACCCCACTTTTCCCTTGGGCCCCATTATTTCTATATCGCGATATTGCACAGGAGCTCAACTATTGCGTTATAGCAGAACTGACTGTAAATTAAAAGATGTTTACAAGATTACAGAGAATAGTAGCAAGTCTGAAGATTGGGAGAGTTTTATAAATTTACAAAGGGCCACCCAAACGTTGTTAATAAAAGAAAAAAAATACAAGAGCAAACTGGCCAGGAATACAAAAACAGATTTTTTGCCAAGAACTTTTGCATGTATAAAACCGTAGTTAAAATAAACACTGCTCCCTTAGAAGCAGAAATGGGATAAATTATATGGGACATGAAGAAATAGCAGAAGCATTGAGCAAATAGTTTGTGCCCGTCTTCACCATGGAATACTATCTAATAACAGTTAATACTGTAGTGAATCTACTCTCCGATCATCAGTAAAGTGATGGAGAGAATAATTAACAGTGCTATCAAGCAGGACTTGCTTAACATTAACCTGCTAACTGATACTCAGTTTGGGTTTCGCCAGGGCCTCTCAGCTCCTGACCTCAATATGGCCTTGATTCTAACATGAACAAAAGAGTTGAATTCCAGAGGTGTGGTGAGAATAACTGCCTGTGAGTCTGAAGATTGATTTGACTGGGTGTGACATAAGAGGCCTAGCAAAACTGGAAGCACTGGGAAAATTCTCTGCAGGTTGGTATCTTACCTGGTGCAGAATGTTGATATTGGGGGTTTCAGTGATGGTAATGCCATTAAATGCCAAGGGATGATTGTGGTTGTTGGAGGTCCGTCATCCCAGTACCAGATATCTCTGCAGGAGTTCCTAGAGGTAGTACCCTAGGCCCAACCATTTTCAGCAGCTTCAATAATGACCTTCCCTTCATCATAAGATCAGAAGTGGGGATGTTTGCTGATGACTGCATAATGTTCAGTACTATTTGCCACTCCTCGGAAATGAAAGCTATCCATGTCCAAATGCAGCACAATCTGGACAATATCCAGGCTTGGACTGAAAAGTGGCAAGTAACATTATGCCACGCAAATGCCAGGCAACTATCATCTCCAATAAGAGACAATCAAATGATCACCCCTTCGCATTCAATGGCATTACCATCACTGAATCCCTCAATAAGAACATTCTGGGGTTTACAATTGACCGGAAGCTGAAATGGATTATCCAAATAAATATGTTGTTACAAGAGGAGGTCACAGGCTAGGAATCTACAGTGAGTGTCTCACCTCCTGACTCCCTAAAGCCTGTCCACCACCTGCAGGGTTCAAATGAGGAGTGTGATGGATGAGTGTCGCTCCAAAAACATTCATCTGCATCTTACAAATGTCTTGCACGTCACTGCACCCAGCTCTGCAATATATTCAGAACTAGTGCTACTTTTGGTACCACTTCTGATACTTTTCATTTCCTGAAACTGGCATTTAGTGTATCACCTTCTTTCAAATTTTGGTTGCAGAACCTTCCAACATCGCCATTTCTCTGGCACTCATGTAAAGCAATGACTTCATGGGGATCATTGCTACACCAGTAGTTTTGTCCAGGAAAAGATGAATCTTGTGTATGACTGGTTCAGATGCTTCATTTGACCAAGCTTAAGTGCCTTGTCTCTTTGTCTTTCATGACTTATCAAAACCAATCTCTTCAGCCAAGATTTTAGTCACATCAATCCAATTTATAAAAAAAAATTATTTTCTTTATGAAATGTCTTGATGTTTTAAAGGTGCTATATAATGAAGATTTTAAAGTGCTGAAGGTGATATAATGCAAGTTTTAAAGTGCTGAAAGTCCGATAGTACACAAATACATTGTGCACTTTATGATACAAAAACAAAACAGAAATTGCTGGAAAAACTCAGCAGGTCTGGCAGCATTTGTGGAGAGAAAGCAGCATTTTGGGTCTAGCGACCCTTCTTCAGGACGGGAGGTCAAAAGTGTGCATATGGCGACATGTAGCACTGAGTGTGGTTCTCATAAGGAGCAAGAGCAGCTGTCTGAGGAGTGTTGTACATTACGCAGATACCTGCAATCCAGGGTGGGTTCATAACATGAAGGGTGAAACTTCAGCTGGAATCTATATGGGATGTATCCAAGCTGAGGCAGTCACTGCTGGAAAAACTCAGCAAAATGTATTTTGAGGAAAGGTTACTGGATGTGAAACCTTAACTCTGCTTTCTCTCCACGGAAACTGCCAGACCTGTTGTCTTAATTTTAAGGAAACAAATTCCTTTTGTCTTTAATTTGCGGTTATTGGGTGTATTTTCTGGACACTGGACTAGAAGTTCTGAAATTGTGTACATAAAAATGTATTAAAAGTATATAAACTAAAGTTGTTGGCCTGTGTGGAACGCCTAGTCTTTTACTGTAGATTATCAACGTACGTGCTAAATTTGGTTTTGTTCTTGTCACATATGTTTGTATATCCTTATTAGCTTTTATACATCTGGAATTAATCAGCATATGAGTAGATGTAAGTTGATGCATGCTGTTTTTTTCAGAGCTTAATGTTATTGAAATTATTTCTGTTTCTTTCAATGCTGCAGTTATATGGAAGTGTTGTGGTAAGGAAATAGTATTGGGTGATAATTGTTGCATTAGTGGTATTCTCCTCAAATAAATATTAATGATTGCAATCTAGCAGTTGAATACAATATTTCTTATTTTTACCTGTCAAACAATCCTATTTGGTAAAATTTCCTCCCTTCATTGGACAATAATGTCCTGACAACAATGCAGTATCCAAGTTAAACCAATTAAGAATACTGAATAGCAAGGTGGTTCACTTGACATTTATAAGGTCAGAGGTTTTTTTATTTGCTTCGGCATCTGTTGTTCTGAAACTGAATTCTGTTTGTTTCTTTCCTGTCTGGTTGTATTTGCTTGCTTGTGCAGAGCAGTTGCCCAAAAGCTCAGAATTTAAATGCCCATAGAATCGTGAGTGAGAATTTATTCTATGAATAGACAGGTAGGTCTGCAAAGTACCCACAGGATCTTTTTAGCATCTTATGCATGGATTTTTCTTCTCTCTGAATTTGCTTCTTCATGTGAATATTCAAATGTAAATAAGCATGATATGACTGTTATCAGACAGTTTATTTCATTCCAAATCCAGATTTGTATCATTTAGCCTTTATTTCAAGAGTAATAGATTTACAGTATAGATAGGACTTTAAACTAAATAATTGAGGGGCAATGGGTTCAGTGCATGGAAAATTAAAAAATCAAATGTAAAGGAGAAGGTAGGATCGCAGGTTCATGATGGGGCTGATTGTTAGCATAAAATAAAGGGACAGAGTTTGTGAATATCATATCGTACCAGGAACTATAAAAGTGTAGGGAATTTCGATAATAGAACAAACTTAAAGGCTTTGTATCTTTTAATGCATGAAGCATTCGGAATAAGATAGCACAAATTGAGGTAAATGAATATAATCTCATAGCCGTTATGGAAACATGATTACAAAACTGGAAATGTAACATTTAGGGATAGTTGATCTTTCACAAAGATAGAAAGGATGGAAAAAGCGGTGGGGTAGCATTATCGATAAAAGATGAAATGAGGACAGTTGTGAGAAATGATCTAGGCTTGTATGATGTAGAGTCCACTTGGCCAGTGGTAAAAACCTGCAAGGGAAAGAAGATGTTAGTAGGAGTAGGGTGCAGGGCCCCAAACACTCACTAGTCTGCAGGAAAGGCTATAAATCAACAAATAATAGGAGCACGTAAAAAGAACAGTACAATAATTATGGGTGACTTTAATCTTCATTTAGTTGAGTTATTGAAATTCGAAAGGGTAGCTACAACATACGGAGTCACAAAATGTATTAGGGACAGTTTCCTAGAACAATATGCTATAGAGCCAACCAGGGAGCAGGGTACCTTGGATCTGGTAATGGGTAAATCACTCCAGAACACTTTCTATTGAAAATTTTCTATGAATTAAATCTTATGTTTCTTTTTATTTAAACTTACAGTTGAAGTCAAATAGAGGAAAATATTTAATAAATATAGGAGAAAATAACGTCAAAATTGTGATACATGGAGAAAGGTGCAAATTGGAAACACATTAACAACAGAATGGGTTTAAAGTTTCACTGCATAAAAATGCACAAATTTAATCTTTGAAACTAGTAACACTTCTTTTCCTCTATTGGTACAGAATCAGAATGTAGAACTAAATCTACAAATTGTGTGGTCCTAGAATCAGAGCACAATATTTAGTCCCATCTCCAATCTATTTGCCCTTTGAATTTAGCTCCAATTGGGAGTAAAGGACTACTAAATTCATTAATGTGATTTGTTTCCATAGTGACATTGTTTTGTTAGGCATGCCAGCAAAATTCAGTGGCTTGATTAATTGTAAGTATTATCTGTCGCTGTAGGTACAAAGAGGTTTACAGAGAATGGCAAGAAAAGTGCTCCTGTTTCTTCAGATTTTAACCCAGAACCGCTGCCACCAGGTACAGAGGGGTATGTACCATGGCGTACTGCTGCACGTGCTAACCGATTCAGGTAATCAATTTTTCAGAATGTATCTTCATTTTTATGGTTTTTTTTTTGTTTGTGTTAGATCCTCAATGAAATTTCTTGAATATCATTAGATAAGGTGATATTCAATATGTCCGTGGTCTTGGTTAGTGCTTTTGGTGTCAACCATGGACAATCCTCGAGTTAGACTTATGCAAATTAGATTCTTCTAATTTTTTATTTCTGTTCCTTTCAGTAGTCACCCCAACGATCTGGATCTTTATGAAAAAAAAATCGGTTATACTCAATGTAAGACTTTTTGCTAAGACATTGGAGCTGTGTCATTTTGGATATACAGTATTAGCACCTAGGAAACTTGGGTTACCCAATTTGCCAGACATGCAACAATAATTGCATTTATATGGCACCTTTTAATGTAGAAAAACTTCCCAACACGTCTCAGAAGCGTTAACTGACAAAAATAGTTGCCAAGTCCAAAAAAAAGTTAGGGTGCACAAATCATTGTCTTAGAGTTGAGTTTTAAGTAGGGTCTTACAGGATATAAAAGAGAGACAGAGGTTTAGGAAGAGGATTGAAGAGTGTGGGCTTTCGATAATTGAAGGCACAGCTGCTAAGTAGTGGGTGGATAATGCATAAGTGGCCAGAGCAGAATTCTGCAGAAAGTTGAATGTTGTTGCAGAACTATTTGTGGGATTTGAGTATCGCTGACTGTACCAGCATTTATTGCCCATCCGTAGTTGCCCTTGAGAAGTGGAGGTGAGCTCCTTTACAGAAGGACACTAGAGTCATAAAGGAGAAAGTCTAGAGCCAAAGACTGACATAAATTAACATGCTTCCTTTGTAATAAGACTGGACATACCAAACCCAATTGCTAAAAATTAAATGGAAGATTGATTGCGGTAGGAGGAATGCTCAGGGTAGTCGTGAAAATTCTTTTTTGAATGTTGATGAGGAAAATCAGGTCACTAGAGTTCTGCGTATTTTATCACAAAAGGGGGAGATAGTTCCTTTTACTTTGAATCAGGAAGTAAACTAATCACGGAGCCATCGGGAGACATGGTTTCAAGGAGTTAAAAATTGAGAACTAAATATTCTGGGGCAAGAAGGAAAGGATAGTATTGTTAGTAGGGAATCAATGGAATAAGTACAATAACAGGAACTAATCATGGATTGGAAGATGTGGTGTATGTATTGGTGGAGGTAAGGAAAAGAAAGTGGGTAAAGACATTGGTAAGGGTAGTAGTCTATAGGCCCCCTGTCAATGCCTAGGCAGTTGAACAGAGATTAAAATTAGGAAATAATGAGAGACAGGAAAAAAGACAGTGCACTAATCATGGGTGACTGTAATCTTCTTGAAGGTTGGCATTGTCAGATTAGTAGAGGTAGCCATCAGGAAGCATTCGTAGAGTGTATTCAGGACAGTTTCAAAGACTAATATGTTATGGATCCAACCAAGGGTACAGTGATGTGTAATGAGGTAGATTTAGTAAGTGATGTCAGTGTAAAAGATCCCTGAGGAAGTAATGACCATGATATGGTAGAATTTACCATTCAGTTTGAGAGTGAGGAACTTGGATTGGAAACAAATGGGTTAAGCTTAAGTAAGGGTAATTAAAAAAGAAGGGACAACTAATTGGAGTGGAATGGGAAAGGAGTTTAGCAGCAAAATGGTTGAGGAAAAATGGCAGAAGCTTAAGAAAATAATTTATCACTTACAAGAAAGCTATTTTTCAGTGAGAAGGAAGGATTCTCGGAAGTGGATAAGCTAACTATGGTTAACCAGAGAAATTAAGGATAGCATTAGATTGTATGCTTTTTTTCTTCCAATGTGGGAAAGACTTTTGGTAAGACAGGATTAGGCAAGCTTTAAAAACAAATAAAAGATAACCAGAAAAAAAAATAGAGAGGGAAAAGGTAAACTTTGAGGGAAAACTTGCAAGTAATAGCAGGACGGACAGCATGAACTTCTACAAATATGTAAAAAGGAATGAAGATAGGCCTATGGGCCCCTTAAAGTAGGACGCTGGGGAAATAATAGGGAACTAGGGAAGGGCACTGGAAACAAATAAATACTTTGCATCACAGTAGAAGGCACTAATAACATTCCAAAATAACTAAATAATCAAGGGTCAAAAGGAGGAGGAGAAATAAATATAATAACTATTGAGAGAAAATGTGCTAGAGAAACTAAAAGGGCTAAAGACTGGTAAGCCCCCTGGATCTGATGGAATTCATCCTGAGATAGTAAAAGAAGTAGCTTAGAGATAGTGGATACACTGGTAGTAATCTTCCAAGATGCCCCAGAGGATTGGAATTTTGCCAATACAGCACCTGTATTTAAGAAAACAAAGGAGACAGAAACAGGTAATTACAAGTATCAGGCTAGTTAGCTTAACGTGTCATTGGAAAATATTAGAGTCTATTATATAGGATATAATAGCAGATCAATCAGAAACACATAGGATCAAACAAATTCAGCAAGGCGAAATCATGCTTAACAAATTTATTAGAGTTCTTTGAGGAGGTATCAAGCAGGCTAGATAGAGGGAATTCATACATATAATTGGATTTTCAGAAGGCACTCAAAATGTACCACGTTAGGCTACTTAAGGAGAGCCCATGGTGTTGGAGGTAGTGTATGAGCATGGAAAGAAGATTAGCGAACTACTGGAAGACAGAGTTGTGATAAAGGGGGCATTTTCAGACTGGCAATCTGTAACTAGTGGAATGCCGTGTGGATCAGCGCTGGGCCTGCAATTATTTACAATTAATTCAATGAGGAAAATGAATGTATTAATGCCAAGTTTGCAGATGACACAAAAATAGGTGAGAAGACACCAAATGTAATATGGAAAAATGTGAGTTTATGCACTTTGGTAGGAAGAATAGAAGACCTGAGTATTACTTAAATGGAGAAAGATTGTGGAAAGATGTAAATCAGAGGGATTTGGAGTCCTTGTGCATGGATCACAAAAAGGTAGCATCCAAGTTCACTGGGTAATAGAGAAGACAAATAGAATGTTGGCATTTGTTTCAAAGGAAATGGAGTATAAAAATTGGGAGATTTTGCTAAAACTATACAAGGCACTACAAGATCACAGCTGGAATACTGTGAACAGGTTTGGTCCTCTTATCTAAAGAAAGATGAATTGACATTGAAGGTAGTCCAGAGAAAGTTCGCCAGGTTGATTCCTGTCATGGAGGGATTTTCTTATGAAGAGAGTTTGAGTAGATCAGGCTTGTACTCATTGGAGTTTAGAAAATGAAAGGAGACCTTAGTGAAACATGCAAGATTATTACAGGCTTGATAGGTTGGGAGTGGTTGGGCTGTTTCGCCTTGTGGGAGAGTCTAGGACCAAAGGGCATAATCTCAGGATAAGCATCGCACACTTGCGACAGAGATGAGATGGAACGTTTTCTCTCAGATGATGCTGAATCTGTGGAAATTGTTACTTGAGAGGACTGTCAAGACTTGATTATTAAGCATATTTAAGGCTGAGGCAGACAGATTTCTACTCATTAAGTAAATTGAAGGTTATGGGAATTAGGCAGGCAAGTGGAGTTGAAGGTTGTCAGATCGACCATGATCTCATTAAATGGCAGAGCAGACTCACTTGGCTGAATGGCGAACTTCTGCTCCTGCATCTTATGGTGATGAACAAGTGTCATTATACAGAGTTGGAATAAAGAGTGACTTGACTTCATAGTGGGAGTAGTGAAATCAATTCCTAGAGATGAAATTGGATTTTTTGGGGAGGAGATGACCTGGAAGAAGTCAAAAATAGTGTTTTATCATCTTTGGTGAGTCTAATCCGTGGAGGTAACAGAAACAAACATTCCAAGAGGAGCATTCTGAGTTGTTTCCTGACTGTAGTGTGACATGATCTCAAGCCCATAGAATTAGACAGGAAGAAAAGTAATCTTGAAACAGGGAGATGATTTGGTAATTCAGTTATTGGATACAGTGTTTGAGAATGTAAATAAAAGGTATTAAGATGAAGAGAATGAGGCTGATGCCTTTAGTCCATCTTTCTTCAGTAGAAATGCAACAAATAGATTCAGTATTGAAAAGGTCATACCAAACATCCTACTTGGATTGAGTCAGAAACAATACCTGAGTGTTTTTACTTGAATAACAAAGTTTTAATGAGAAAATGTAGACCACCTCAAATACCACCTGACGAGGAATGGACATTGGTCCATCAGCTGGTCGTTCCATCTGTGTATCATAATGGAATTTTGCAAATGGATTCATTACTACTCCAACTATACTACTTGTTCACATATTGAGAAATTAGCTGTGTTTCATATTACCATGTCAGACATATTATCAAAGTTTACTCTTGAAGCTTGTCTAGTATTAAGTGGTTACGTTTAGAATTCTGTCATAATATTTTCAGCTATTAAGAAAGTTGTTTTGCAGATGAAGGAAATATGTACTGCCCAGCAAAGATATACAAACTTTAAGGATTCATGCTGACTTCCTGGCCTGCATTTAGTTAGCTGATCTCATTAGAGTCAACATTTCAGGTTTTAAAGTTAGCCAAAGCATTTTGTGAAAGGATCATTATCAAATGATTACTGCAGATATACACACCTCTGTATATCAGAGAGGAGTGGTTATTGACAGCTCATTGGCTATTAGCTTTCTAGGCTTTTCCCATTAAAAATTGCTGGTTAAATTAGGAGGACTTGCTAACTTGCTGGTTTCCATTGCTGAAACAACTACTAACCATTAACAAAAAATAGAAGATGCTGGAAGAGCTCAGCAGCATCTGTGAAGAGAAAGTCCGGTTCTGAGGAAGGGTCACTGAGCCTGAAATGTTAACTAACTCTGATTTCTCTTCACAGATGCTGCCGGACCTGTTGAGCTTTTCCAGCAACTTCTGTTTTTGTTTCTGATTTATAGCATCTGCAGTTCTTTCGGATTTATTTGGAACTACTAAGCATTGGTGGTTTCAAGAGATGTGGATGATTTGCTATTGATTAGTTAATTTGAAATTGGTGTGTTAAGTGAATTTGGTTACAGGATTAGTAATTGATAGTTTTCATCTTATTATTAACAGGAATATTCATCTAGACTCATCACACCAAAATAGGGATGTTCAGGTAAAGGCATGATGGTAAATTATAGCAGTCCTTGTTTTCTAACTGTGTTTTAAAGCTGCTGTTGTGTCCCAAATTGTAATTTTAAATCCAAATGAAAATGAACAAAACTAACTACAGCAAACAATATGCTGCAACTCATGTGTGGTGCCACTGAAGCATAGACATTTTTGTTATTGCTATTTTGCATTTACAGATTAACATACAAAGTACTTTCAAGTCATAATGCACAGCATTCTGTACAGGTAATGTCTGACATTAATAAGTTTCTAATTACAGTCACCAAAGAAGTGATACTGAATAAATTGTTGGAGCTGCAGGCTGACAAGTCCTGATGGGCTTCATCCTAGGGTCTCAAAAGAAGTGGTTAATGAGATAGTTGACACATTGGTTTTAATTTTTCAAAACTCCCTTGATTAGGACAAGGTCCATTTAGATTGTATCATAACAAATGTAACTCCTTTATTCAGAAAGAAAGATACAGAGAGCAGGAAATTACAGGTTTAGTTAGCCTAACATCTGTCATAGGGATGCCATTAGAAGGGATTAAACACATTATAGCAGGGGAGGTAGAAGATAGTCAGGCAGAGCCATTTTGGTTTTGTGAAAGGGGAATCATCTTTAATCAATCTACTGGAATACTTTGAGAAAGGAACATATGGTATGGATAAAGGGGTCATACTGTAGTTAGATTTCCAGAAAGCATTTGATAAAATGCCACAGAAAACAAAAGATCAAATAAAGCTGTGGTTCTCTGTCTTCCTTGCACACCAGTCTTACAAGTCCCTATCCAGCACCAAGATATTCTACGCAATGAAAATCTTGTCTTTAAAATCGTCTCATTCACCCAGATAAATGATGTCGCTTTGGGAATCTGAATGGGCCTCAGCTGTTTCTATCTTTTTTGTGTGATAAGTTAGCATGATTTGTTCCAGACTTAATTGGATGCTTTCCAGAATTATTCATTAGACATACTGCTCCTGAACTCTTATCAACTGCCATTTGAAATGCTGCCACATGTCCGATGTAGATTTACCCTCAAAGAGCCGCCTCTAATCAACATTCTCCAGTTCCTGCCTAATATTGTTGTAGTTTGCCTTCCCCCCAACTTAACATCTTCTCCTGAGGACTGCTGTTATCCCTATCCATGAATATCTTTAAAATTCACTGTATTCTGGTCACTACTCCCGAAAAGCTTCCTACTGAAACTTCACTATAGGCCAAAATATTTTGTGCATACCTAATAGACTTTAAGGTAGCAGTAGCCTTCTTGAACTGCTGCACTTCATGAAGAGTAGGCACATCTGCACTGTTGTTAAGAAGAGAATTCTAAGGTTTTGACTCAGTGATAATGAAGGAGCAGCTATATAGTTTCAAGTCAGGATGTTGTGTGGCTTGCAGTGGAACTTGCAGGTGGTAGTGTTCCCATGTATCTGTTGCTCTCTTCATAGATGGTAGAGGTTGCAGGCTTTGAATGTGCTATTGAAAAGCTGTAGTGTGTTGCTCCAGTACACCTTGCAGGTGATGCATACGTTGTACACATACAGATCATAACTCTTTCCATCCTCCTTTTTTTGTATGAACTCCTTTTTCCTCCTCTCAGTTCATCATATTCGATGCAAGAATTTTTAAATATTCTTTTCAGAGGCAAAAGGGCATTCCCCCTTGTCTCACCTATCACTCAACTAGCCTTCACAGTAATTTTTACCATGTCAATCTCTATCTGATCATCAAATGCATCTCCCTGTCCCTTTCAATAATTCAAGGGGACCCTTTTCTGAATGAACCTTAATACCCACTTTGCTTGTCCACTGATGAAAGTAGTGGAGCTCTGGCATACTAACTGTCTGCTGGCAAGACTGCAGTTTACATATATTCCTAACTAATATGCTGTCTTTACAGTTTCATTTTTCTTTTACTTGGTTTGGTTTTCTTCTGTATTATTAATGCTAGATGAATCACATACTTTTTCTTTAGTCACTTTAATCTTTATTCAAAGGAAGATCGGCTTTAATTGTTCCACTTTTACATATCCAGCCATTATTTTAATTATTGGAGATAACAAGGTGTACAGCTGGATGAACACAGCAGGCCAAACAGCATCAGAGGAGCAGGAAAGCTGACGTTTCGAGTCTGGACCCTTCTTCAGAAATTTCTCCTCTGTTGCTGCTTGGCCTGCTGTGTTCATCCAGCTCAACACCTTGTTATCTCAGATTCTCCAGCATCGGCAGTTCCTACTATCTCATCATTATTTTAATTATTGGTTTGATTATGACATAAAGAGTAAACGTGATCCGTCGTCTTGCCAGCTTTTCCAGTTGTTGCTAATCTTCTTTGAGCTTGTATTCACTAAACTGTTTGTTTTGGTACTGGGAAAAAGCAGCATGACATAACTTGAGTCAAGTATAACCACAGCTCATTTCATTCTACTGTCTTTGAACATAACCTAATTGCAACCTTGGTTATTAAAAGCCAGCAAAGAGAATTTTTGTCAGTTGAATTGGATTTGATTTAAAGTTAGAGGGATGATAGTGTTTATATCTGTCGTATTGCACTGTACCATAATTTGACATTTCTTAAAGCAAAATTTGTTTCCTCACCTTTTCTATTTATCTGGCTGAAATGAAGCGCTGAAGCAAAATACTTGAAATTTAAGAAGTTTGTATGTATAGTTCTTCTACTTCATATCATATTTCATAATGAGTCTGGGTGATATGGTAGATAAACAGTGCCATCATTCTACTTTTGCTACCTGAGTTTAAATTGACCCACTCTGAAAGAATATTGTTCTAAATAAAACAAAAAAAATCAGAATTTAGGTCCTCCACCATTATCACCTGTACTTTCGTGATACATTGTAAAAAATGATTACTTTCAGTAGGATGAATATTTAGTTTTGATTTCAGGCAAGTAATCCAGTGAAGATCACATTGGAGAGTGGATCATCTTCAGAAACTGAAGAGGTGATCTGTACTCCTAAGGCAGAAATTCAGATGACTGATACAGAAAATTCATACAAGACATTCAAAGTCAAGCAGTATAAACACTTAAAGGTAATGCTGCATGTGAAAATGAGGATTTAACAATATATTTAAGCATATACTTCCCATCATAGATATTAAAATTAACTTTTTGAATGCAAGAAAAATATTTACCAAACTGTAATTCATGTAATATAGAGCTTTGATAATGCCTTTCAATAACAGAGACTAAAAACTGGAACCCAGCATATTTTGCAGTTTAAGAAAGCAGTTTTGTAGCTCTTGAACGTTAACATAGAAATTCACTACTATAATTGTTATGGCAAGTAAACTCACTCAGTAAACTAGATGCTGTGTGTTTATTTTAGATCGTGTTGATGTAACTATTAGATACCTCAAATTAGGATATTACAGTTAACTAATTTTGGCCTTGCATTTTAATTGAGGACAGTAGTGCAAATATAGGATCATACCAATAAAGTGACCGAGATACAGTGGGTGTCTCTTGAATATAGATGAGTTGTTTTTTCCTTCTCATTACACTTATGCTTTGAAGGTGCAGGCTCATATTATGACATCACTGTGTCTTCAGTATCAACCTATAAGGCAACCCAAGCGTTCCATTTGACTATTTGAATTCTCGTCTTCTATTGATGCCCTTGGAATAAAATCCATTAGTCTCAACTATTAGACTTCAGTATCTGTAATAATAAATTCTTTGAACTTTATAGACATGATCAATAAAGAGCATTTTAGCTTGGCAAGAATCTGTTTCTGTTGTCTAACATTTTTACAGGTAGAACTAAAAGAATGTCGACTAAGACTGCAAGAAGAAATTAGAGCGAGGACAAAGGCTGATGCTCGTTTGATGGAGGTAGTGGTGAACTAAGGCTTTTTTTTTCTGCATTATTCTGTCATCCTGTATATACCTTGCAATTAATTTATGTTCATCTTGTTGAATGAGAGACTGGCAATTTTAACTTGCTTTTTGCCTTAATTACTAAATCATTAATTAGCCTTGCAAAACTGTATATAGATATTTTTAATCAGCCTGTTACAGTTCTGCAATAGTACACAACTCTAGAGCAGGTGGGACTTGAATTCAGGCCTTCTGATTCAGAGGTAGGAAGACGACCACTGTGTCACAAGAGCCCTAAGATTAGAAATATAGTCAGCAGGGCTTGAACCTGGAGAGATCCCAGTGAATTTCAAATCCATCACCTTAATTACTCAGTCACAACTACGAAAAATGTATATAAAGAGTGAATGAACGTTTTGGGCAGGTGAGGTTCGCCAAAATTGGCCACAACTTCTCTACTTGTAGCATTAATGCCTTCATGTTGCCTTGCATTTCATAGGGATAGAACTGCGTAATGAACCTTGTTCAACTCATTTAAGCAGGATTAAATGACGATTGTAGGAGAGTCTTCATAATATTCAGGCCACAGTTGCAGGTGTTTTATTAGTATTCAGTCCATAGTTCGTCAGATTTTTAGTTTCATTTCTCTGTTTTTGAATCTAACATTCATTACATTTGTACGAAGAACTGAAACAAGTATTTAGCCTTAGTTCCCGCATTCTTTACATAAAGTGTAGTATTGTTACTTAATTTTATTTGTAAGCTAATAAAACTTATTTTACAATTCTCAGCAACGATTTTTCTGTCCATATGTCCAGGATTGTATCACTGTCACTGCACAATGATAATCACTCTAGAAGACCGAAATTTGTTAACTGGGTGCTAAAATCAGTTATACTTCCTCACCTGCTTGAGGAAAAGAGCCCTTTCACATCCATGTGATATTACTTTTTTGTGTTTATTTTAAGTATTATTTGCAAAGTTTAGATGTGTGAACAAATCACAGTATGTATGAAATTGTATTAGCAGGCTCATGATTGTAATGCTGTATATTGTAATATAACACTGTTTCCAGAAGATTTAAGGTCATTTCTTAAGGATTGTAGCATTTCTTTTAGGATAAGTAGATTGCAAGAACAAATTTTGACTGAAAGGGCTGGTTCATGATTATTGGATATGAGGAGAATTCAGCAAGAAGAAATTTTACTTACAGGATTTACTCACAAGTGATGGTTACAATTGCCTTGTGCAGTGATGGGAACTGCAATCATAGAATATGAGTTCCCAGATTGAAGCTGTTAATCTGGTCTAGTCAGGGAGTCCTGGCTGCTAATGGGGAGAAGACTCTGCACCAGGTTAAGCTTGATCTTCCCAGATCTGAGGTGATGGTTGAAACGGCATCAAGAAAACCAATGCCAGACACCAGACTTCTCTAAGTGAGTGAAGCAGTTTACTTCAGGGGACAAAGTTTGGTGTCAAAACCATGGGAATGGTCCTGCATAGTTAAGAGACATGGTTGACGCAAGATCAGGTTCTGTGACATAGAAAGTTTGGGTCGGTGAGGTGGTCCTGAACAAGCATATGGACCACATGAAAGCTGCAACGTCAAACAGGACAGGAACAAAATGTATATGTTCCCTCAGAACATCCGGCAAGGCTGTCAGAACCTATTAGCCTGTAAATTTTATAACTTCAAAATATTGAAGGAACATCAGAACTGCTGCTTTACCAATTCACTCCTTGTCTTAAGGTTTTAGATTAGTGTTTTGCTTCAATGTTAACGTCATTACTTGGACTATATGAAACAACACCAGGTCCCATTTGAAGTAAGTTAGTACTGTTGACTTTGCTTGAACTTCAAGAGTAAAATAAGTAAATGATTGATATTAATATTGTGAGTTAGAAAATAGAATATACTAAGCAATCATTACAAAATAGTTTGATTTGCTTACTTTTGATAGCTTGAAGTTGAGAATGCCCGGCTTCGAAAAATCAATCTTTCTCTGTCTGATGCTCTGCACACGCAATCTACCACAAGTACTATTCTTGAGGATGAAGGAGTGCTAGAAAGCATTGAAGCCTCTTTCAAGAAATTTCATGCTTTTTTAGATCTTTTAAAAGATGCTGGGTAAGTTGTTGTACATGTCTCTTTCTGTATTTCCCTTCTGCTTCCTAAATGTGGCTCAAATTTAAAATATTACTATGTGACCAACATTCTTGTTTGCGATGAAAATGCATCTCACAAATGCCTACAATAACATTATTTGATAGATTAATTGATACAGAAGGCTGAATATTCGTAATCTCTGACTGACCGTTCTGATTACACTTTACAAGAAAGTGAGGGTTCTCAAATGCAGTTTTAATTTGAATCCGTGAGCGACTGCATTTTTTTACATTCTGACCTCTATGTACTTGTTTAACATCGAATAAACTTTAATAATATGAGATCTGGAACATTTAACTCAACTTTAATTGTGAGATTTAAGCCAATTACAATTAAAGAGCAGTTTTGAGAAAAAAATCTCAAGGGTGTTTAGGTTTGACTAAATGCAGGACCACTCTTGGTATGAGTTATGTTTGAACAAATTTCACAGAATTTAAGGTTATCAAATAAGTGCAAAAGAAATGATGCTTCATAAAAGCAATGGATTCAGTCAATTTACAGTGGAGTTCCATCTCATGGCTTCTAGTTGAATGGCCACACATTGCCTCTTCTTTTCTGTTGACTGAGGTTTTCCTTCTATCTTCAGTCATCTGTTTTGTGCACTATGCCGCTAAGTGTCACTGCTTATTAACTCTAGCTAACCCTATGAGACCAGATGTAGGTTGAACTCTAATTAGCTTGCATGAACACTACATGATCAGTCTCAGATTGACTAGGTAATGTGTGGCCAACTCCTGATGGTTTCTTTAAAAGGGATGTTATCTTACTCGTGTCACGTCCTGCTTTTTCCTGATTTTATTTTTTCAAGTGTCAGTTAAATCCCTTTTATGACAGCTTGTCCTTCTTAGCTTACTATTTCCATAGATGTTTACCAAATTAATGCAACACCAGTAGAACAATTTGTGTCTATGTGGTATATGTAAAGTCATATTATAGTGATTTAATATCATGACAAATGCCTGATTGATACAACTCAACATTTCAGGAAAAGTCTAAAGCCTATCAATATCTTTTGACTGAGAATTTTTTGGTGTTTGTGAATTCACCATAACTCTGGTGCTTGAAACAGGTTTAGCAGATAGCAAGAGTACAAGTTGCACCCAGATAAAAAAATGCAGAGTTTGTGTATATTAAAAAAATCACCGCATTGGGATAACAAGTATATAAAAACTGAAGTAACAAAAAACACATACAGTTGATTGAATGCATTATATTTTTTTCTTATATCAAAGGCCAAAATAAGAACAAAACTGATGATAAAATCTAATTTCAAAGTGCTACTTTAGTAAACACCTGTTACATACTGTTTAAAAAGTAAGCCTTAAAGTACTAAGATGCTAAGCTAATTTCAAAACAAACCAATTCACTTCAATATATTCATGAACATTTGTCATACCATAAAAGTGTATTTCTTGACCACAAGTTTTGTGTTAGCCCGGGCCATAACAAAAACAACGATAAAGCCTTAAACCCATGACTTTGCTTTGTCATGCACCATATGGCAATTCTAACTTTATAAATGTGCTTACAATTGACCACACTTAAACAGAACATCATACTAATTTCTTACAGGCTGTCATAGGTCAAAATAACTAGAAGCTTTACGAAACAGTCCTACAATAACTCATCTCCCCCTTAGTAGCAGAAAATACTTTATAATTTACAAAATATAAATATAAAACAACTTATTCTTCCCATTAATGATAACAACACTTAGGAATTTCACTAATACATAATCATACATAGATACTTTTGTTTCTCTTTCACATTTTGGGTAACATAATTACTAGTGCAAATAACTATTCTGATAGGCACAAAAATAAATTTAGGAGCTTTGTTCTTTTTGACCTAAAGGTTGAAATTAATGGCCATGTCCATTCTTCAGTTTTATTAGCGAACAACACTTAAATCCTCATTGATTGAAATCTGTAATAAACTAAGCAGTTTTTATGAAAAAGGAAAGGAAACCAATATGATGCTGAGTGTTTCTGGCCTGAGCGTAGGACTGATGAAAATTTTCTGTTCTCCACAGTTCTTCATCTAATTGGTTAATAAATTCCAGTTGACTTGAAATCCAAGTATCCCATCAGGTCAAACCCTGCTTCACCCCAATCAGTAAGCACTAAACAGTTTATCCTTTGTGAAAGCAGTTCTAACAAAAGTCATTTTATTATCTCTTTTTTCCTCCACAGGCCAGATATAAAATTGTATCAAAGGAAACCTCAAATCATACTTTAAAAAAAAAAAAAAAAATCCATCTTTTAATATTGAAGTAAGCTGTTTGGCTCAAAGCCTTCATTTCTGTCCAGTAACATGGGTATGCCCTTGCACCTTTTCTGACAGCTAGGATTATCTAGCTGGATATTTTCGAATCAACCTGTTCAGAAATTTTATTACACACCTCTGGAGCAGATTGGACTTGAACCTAAGTCTTGTGGCTCAGAGGTTGGGACACTACCACTGCCACTCGAGCCCTGGTTATCTAGCTGGAAGTTCAGGCTTTCGTGTGGCTAACATGTCAGTTATTTCACAGAATTACAGAATTGTTATGGTGCAGGAGGTGGCCATTCAGCTCTTCATGCATGCACTTACTTTTCAAACAAGGATTATTACCTAATTCCAATCTCCTGCTTTTTCCCCATATCCTTGTACACTATTGCTATCCAAATAATCACCCAATGCCTCAATTGAACCTGCCTCCACCACAATTCCGGGGTATGCATTCCATACCCCGACAATTCACTGAGTGAAAGTGTTTTTTTTTACTTCTTTGGCAAATTACTTTAAACCCATGCTTTTTCATCCTTGTTCCTTTTATGAATGGGAACCGCTTTTCTCTATCTACTCTGTCCAGCCTGCTCATGATGTAAAATCACATTTCCAGCCAGTCGTCTTCGGTCCAAGGAGAATAGTCCAAATTTGTTCAATGTATTGTCATAACTGAAGTTTCTCATCCCCGGAGCCATTCTTGTAAATCACGTCTGCAATCTCTCCAGTGCATTCACATCTTTCCTACAACGTGGCACTCACAACTGTATGCAAGACTTCAGAATGAGGTCTAACAGTGTCTTGTTTAATATCACCTGTTTGTTCTAGAACTGTATGCCTCTATGAGTAAAGCTGAGGAAACTTCTTTATTAGTTGCTTTCTCCATCTATTCTGCTACCTTCAATAATCTGTGTATATTCTTCCTTAAGTGGTGAGCCTTCCTTTAACATTCCTCCTTTGTACACTGTCCTTTTCTTCTCCAAGCCTCAAACCACTTTGGAAGAACTTTATGAAGTTGAAGGTCTTACATAGATACAAGACCAAGGAAAACATGATTTGTATTCTGTCGGTGAGCTTTGTTCTGCCCTGATATCCCTTTAGCTGCAGAAGAATATATTTTATTAAGTTGAGTTGTCTTGCACTTTATCCCAACATTATATATATGCATATATATATAAATATTTTTCAGTCTTGGGAAATTGGCCAGCATGGCTCGAATAGACCAATCAGACTTTGGTCCTGTTGGACAACCTCAGGTATCATCCACATTTGGAAATGACCGTAAAGAACAAGGACTTGAATCAACCAAAGAGAAAATACTTCAGGAAGCACCACAGGTTACACAGGTGAATAAAGTTTACAATTTTTAAAAAGTACATAGCATCTTTTATGTTCCCAGGATGGTCTAATATGCTTCAAAACAAATTAATTACATTCTACAGGTAAACAATACTCAATTTGTACACAGTAAGATCTTACACAAGGCAATTAAATAAATGCTGCATTTATTTGTTCTGGTAGTGTTCTTTTGAAGGATATCTTTCAATCAAAATAATTGTTAAATAATAGATTAAAAGAACACTTACAGTAATATAAACTTGATAGCTGTCGATAATAAATGAACCAGATTATTTTTTATAAAATACTTTGTTCCAATAACAAAGTAGATCCTATGAGAGTCATAGTCATACAACACAAAAACAGACCCTTTGGTCCAACCAGTCCATGCCGACCATGATCCGAAACAAAATTAGTCCCACCTGCCTGCTCCTGGCCCATATCCCTCTAAACCTTTCCTGTTCATGTACTTATCTAAATGTCTTTTAAACATTGTATTGTTTGTTTTTGGATACTCATTTATTATTTTTTAAAAGTTTTTTTTTAGTTTAACCTATTTTTTGAATAAACCTATTCAGATGTTATTACACATCTCTGGAGCAGGTGGGAATTGAACGTGGGGCTCGTGTTCTAGGGGTAGGGACAGTACCATTGTGCCACAAGAGGGCCCCTCCCTTGTTCATTTAGGCACTTGACACGTTCATCTGACATAGGTTGGTACTTAACTAATCTTTGGACAATTGATTGTTACTGTTGTTACATCATTTCAACACACCTTAACCTCCTTTGATTCGTACACTTTTATATTAATTTATTGTTGTGAGAAATTTAGTTTGTGATATTAGATTTTTCTGAAGAGTCGACTTTACTTTGCAGAGAGATCAGACTGAATGGTAGGGGTGAGACCTTAATCTAATTAAAAATCTTTTGGAGGATAATCTTTTATTTTCAGTCTGTTTAGTGCATTAGCTTATGTTTCTTGATATTACATACAGAATTGAAATGTTCCAGCAAGAACCATATAACTCTGAGGAGTTTTAAAAGTACCTTTTGTTCCTTAATAAAGACGAGTAAACTGCTAATTTTTGAGTCAGGACTACATGATTTCAGGTTGTCCCTGGCTATGATTCCATGATAATGTGCAGATAGATAGAAAGCATAAATGTTCTACTTCGAGCAGAGAAAGTCGAGAGATTTGTACAGTTTTACAAAATTTATGAAAGGCTTGATAATGTCAATAATGGATGCAATTTCCCTTAGTAGGAGGGTCTGTAACCAAAAACTAGGATCTGAATCTTGCCTTTTTTTGACTCAGTATAAGCTGTGTCAGGTTTTTTTTTCGGAGGAATTCCAACAATGAAGCCTAATGAGATTTCTCACCATATCTTTGCAAATCCATTTTGATAACTACTTACCTCAGCACATGGCATCCTTCCCGCCCAATTCTATTCTCATCTTAGCATGCCCCATTCCTGGGGCAACTTGCCACTGACAGTTGCCTGCAAAACATACCAGGTGCTCACACCACCTTTAAAAGACTGCTATGCACCCAAAAGCACTGGCATTCAGAAATTGCCCTGCTTGGTAAATAACAGAATCTGAACATGTCTGAGAAGCAGAAGACAGGGCTGTGATTCTTTGACAGGGACCTGGAGGGCCTGGTTGAGGGGTGGTGCAAAAGAGAGTCATCCTCTTTCTGGATGACAGACACAGGAGGTCACGGTGCCAGACCCTAGCAACTTGATCCGAAGTCTCAACCCAGATCATTGCACTATTGACATTACAGAGAAACGGCCAGCAATGCTGCAAAAAGGGCAGTGACCTGCTCCTCCAAGGTAGGTGCCATATTCTACTCTCTGTTCCCTCGTCTCTCTCTTTTGCTGTCATTTCTTTCCATCCACACCCACATGCACTCCCACCCCACACACGCCCCCTCCCTGCCACCCATCCACACATTCACACCCGCGCACACACACACACACCCCCCCGCATACACACACCCCCGCACGCGCACACACACACACACACACGCCCATCCCCACACGTGTGCTCTCGCTTTCTCGTGTTTTCTCTGGCTGTCTCTCTCTCGCACTTTCTCTGTCGCTCTCTTTTATACACACAAGTGATGGTGCTTCTCACCATGGACAAACCTGCCTTCCACGTGACTGCATTTCCATCCTGCTAAACTGTGTTTGCCCCAGTTTACAGATACTATTGACCCTTTGCAGTAGTCACCCTCCCTCCACAGGGAACTGCCCCAGCTTGCAGCCCCCTGTCCACTGGCAGTAGAACCTCTTGGTCATGCCATCCCTCTTTTCTCCTTCGGTGTGTGGAGAGACCTGACTGAACCTGGGTTAGCCCTTTATACGACCTAATCGAACAGCCCTGGATGATAATTGCCCAGATCCCTGATTAATGTCTGTATCTCTCTGACTGTGTTAACATCCCATTGGATTGGCCACTATAGAACCACAGGACTGACTGTGACCCACTCCCCAAACTGCAGAGGTAAGGACCACCTGACTGAGAACAGCCCAACTGTGGCCAAACCCCTGGACTAGTATTAGAGGCTGCACTTGACTTACTGTACCAGGAATACCTCATTGATAGTGCCTCCATAGATTTTGGTGAGGAATGCTCCCTTGAGACATTGAGACATGGTTGTTTGTTGACTGTATATAAAGTGCTTTTGCTGCCTGAACTACTGGCACATGGTGCAGGTGTGAGATTGGTGTAACACAGTGCCACACAGCAATATGCACACCCCCTTGACTGAAGACAGCTGACCAGCAAGGCAAGCTAGCAAAAACAAAGTTGCTGGAAAAGCTCAGCAGGTCTGGCAGCATCTGTGAAGGAAAAAACAGAGTTAACTTTTCGGGATTGGTGACCCTTCCTCAGCAAGGCAAGCTGCCTGGTTGTGTGACTGCATTAGTTGACACATCAAGGCATGGCCTGGATGCTGTAAGCAAACAGGTAGGCACTAACTGAGCTAGTGCTAGGAGAGCAAACGAGTAACTCTGAGATACAGCCTGGTCCAATCTATGAAATGGATGCTTGTCCATTCTGCAGCTTTTCATTGAACGTCTGTACTTCCTAAGTGCCTGGCAAATGTATCATTGAGGTGCCAAGACGGGCATGAGGTTTTTGGCAAGTATCAGATGCCAATGTCTATGGATGAAGGGCTTGTGTGCCTAGTACCCATGGATCATGCTGTGAAATGTTGTTTGGTGGTGAACAACATAAAGGCTGGTTGCAGCAAACTGAAGTTGCCAAGTGCCCATTCTGACTTCCATGTCAAAAATTCAACATCGAGCTTGTTTATTGAGTTTGGTGAGATACGAAGTTCAATATTAATGAGGCATATTGTGGCATTACTAAGGCATTGAGCAAGCTAAAAGCTATTGGCAAATCGTTAAAGCCTAATAAGGAACTTGCCCCATCGCTCAGGAAAGGACTGAAAATGCAGCAAGCTGGTCCTGATTTTGAGATCAGTCTTGTTGGACTTCTTGTCCAGCTCTGCCACAAATCTTGTCATCACCCACATTGCTTGACCCTGATAAGATTCTACTGAAGATTTAAAACTGTTGACAATAATGAGAATTCTGAAGAAGGGAAATAATCTCCATTTAGAGGAGCAAAGTTTGATCAGGGATGAACAACTTGGCTTTGTCAAAGGGAGGTCGTGCCTCACAAATCTATTTGAATTTTTCAAAGAGGTGACTAAGTGTGTAGATGAGAATGGTGCAGTTGATTTAGTTTATGTAGATTTCAGCAAAGCCTTTGACAAAGTCCCATATGGGAGGCTGATGAAGAAGGGAATAGCATATGGAATCCAGCGTAACTCAGCATATTGGATCCAAAATTAGCTTAGTGGCAGGACTTAGAGGGCTGTGGTAGAAGGCTGTTAGTATGATTGGAGGCCAGGGTCCTGTGGCATGCCATAGCGATCAGTGCTATAGATAAAGATATAGATAAATAACAGATGAGAACGTGGGGGATATGATGAGTAAGTTTGCAGATAACAAAGATTTGCCAGGTGGATGACAGTGAGGTAAAAGGTCTTGAATTATTGGAGGATATAATCAGATGGGTAGATGGAATTTAACCCTAAAATGAATGAGGTGATTCACTTGGGAAGAAGAAACAAGGCAGTTCTCAATGAATGGCAGTACACTAGGAAGCTCAGAGGAACTGAGGGATCTTGGGATGTTTGTCCTGAAGATACAGATAGTTCTCTTATAACGCGATAGTTGCGTTCTTGCATGACCTCGCGCTGTAGAAAATCACGTTTTGGGAAATCACTATAGAAAATCGCTGTACCTATACAGCAGAAAGTTTGCGTTATTCAAATAGTGTCCAGTATTCAACAATCGTGTTATAGCCAATTCATGTTAATGAAACATGCATTATAGCAAAACTGCCTGTAGTTAAGAAGGCATTCAGGACACTTGACTTTATCAGTCAAGGCATAGATTATAAGGCAGGAGGTCATATTGAAGCTGTATACAGTTTAGGTTAGGCCACAGTTGGAGTACTGTGTGCAGTTCTGTTCACCACACAAAAGGAAAGATGTGATCGCACTGGAGTGGATGGAAAGGAGTTTCACCAGGATCTTGCCAGGAATGGAGCACTTTAGCTATGAAACGAAGCTGGATAAGCTTGTTTTCTTTCAGCAGAGAGGGCTGAGAGGGGCTCTAATTGAGGTGTATAAGATTGAGAGGCACGAACAGAGTGAATAGGAGGTTGCCGTTCGTCTTAGTCGAAGGTTCAGTAGGGGCCATACATGGTTTTAAGATGAGTGGCTGGAGGTTTAGAGGGTTTTTGAGGAGAAGTATTTTCATTCAGGGGGTCGTGGGGATCTGGAATGCACAGCCTGGAAGGATAATTGAGGCAGGTAACCTGTCAACCTTTTAAAAAGTTCTTGGCAGAGTGAAATGTCATATCATTCAAGGCTATGGGCCTTGTGCTGGAAAGTGGGACCATTGTAAATTTAGTGTAACTGGTGGTACAGACTTGATGGGCTGAAGAGCATCTTCTGTACTCTGATTCTTTGAGGAGAGGATTCAAAAATCTAGTCTGGCAGAATGGATGGAATGGCTTCCTTTTGTGCTGTGTGTTCTTATTGAAATTTGAAAATCTCTGGAAATGCTACAAGATGTGCAAACAGCTGTAAAATGAAACAAATGTTAATTATATTTTTTCTTTGCTACCAATAGTTTAGTTTTTTTTTGGTTTTCGCTACCAATAGTTTCCTCCTCTTTTGTTTTTCAAGACATTCACTGAATGCTAAGGAGATTGTTTTACACAGTCTGCCACCATTATGTATCTGATGTTACTTCTGTATAAGCTGTGACAGCAAATATTGATGGACTAGTTTACCAAAAAGATCTTATACCTGAGCTTGATTGGCAAAAGCACAGATTCTTCTCAGTCATCTGATTATGGTCAATGATATATTTTTTTCTTTCACTTAACTAGAAGCACTGAATACAGCTTCAGTTCCTCCTACTTAATTAATAATTAAGCAGAGAGGAGGGATCTCAGGATCTTAGAAGTTTGTAGGGCTCTTCAACTCTGACCAAGTCATGTATGAAATGTGTTTGTTAATGTTAACTTGTCTTTGTCACTTTTGAGGAAGGTACTTATTTGGTGTGCAATGCCAGCATTTTCTGTTTCTGTTGCAAAACAATGATATTGGCTTCACTTATATTTTGAATCAATTTTGTATCCGATGATTTCATAGCCAGACTGTAATGTACAGGTTTGCAACTCTTTCAAACTAACAAATGGACCAACTGGGGCATCCTTTACTAATGCATTTTAATGGACAAACTCCCAGTACGTCAGTTGCTTAATTTTGGTTTGCCTGAAAGTTTTCTTCTGGCAACATGTGTTTGAAATGATTGTCATAATATGTTCTGCTGTGTCACTAGCTGAAAGGCAAAGATCCCTAACAGCGATCTTTCACATTCAGCATTTGTTTCAGTTCCAGTATAAAAAAACAGACTGAAGTTTGTAGTTAATTGGGACAATTATGAATTCCAAACTGATGACCCGTGATAGTCTTGACAATACAACATTTTACACAGAACTTGCAATAATAGTCATAGGAATTTTGATTCGCCTGTATCATCTGTATTGTCCTAATTGTGGCAATAAATGAAACTAAATAATTATCTTGAAATGTAGTATAGTAATAAGAAATTGCTTTTCTGATGGCATTGCAGCCATTACTACAGCTGTTCTCATTGGTGATTAAAGTCACAAATGAATAAGTCACTTTTCACACAGCACATAGCAAATGAATTACGTTCAGAGTGCAGAGTTATCATTGACCATATATTCCTTCTAAGTACAGATCCACAGCAAAGCCGGCAGTAGTAATGACAGCTCTTATAGATCAAGTGTAATGAAGGAAATTTTGGGAGAGGGAGTGAGGTTTAGATGTTTGTAGTCCTAAGATCAACAAATTAACAATTCTTTAAACCTTAATGGTCATCAAAACATGATATGAATTAGGCACTCTTGTAGATTTCTCATTTTCTGTTCTGATATGTTAATATTTTCCCTTCAGTTGCATGCTGGAGATCAAACCTGTCACAATCAGTCTGATGCTGCACGAATCTTTAATGACTCCACGAATATAGCTCTTCAACCTGAAAATTGATCATTTGAATCCAAGTTCAAAAACCCAAAATGTAGCCACCAGAACTCCGAGAACAAATTTCTGAAATCTGAAGAAGCAGTTGGCTGTAATGAAGATCAAACAAGCAAGCAATATTCATCCTGGAGGAATGGCCAACCCCAAGAATATGCGGTGGTTCAGGTTTCAGAGAAATTGCTAAGCCTTTCGGAGGCTGAACAGCCCATTGCTTCAGACACAGCTAACACACCATCAGACAAGTCATAAAAGTGAAATAATAACAAAGGCATTTTTTAACAGACATCTTTTTTAAAACCAAGTTAATTGTCTTGTTGCAGCTGATAACGATGCTTCTTTGTTCGCAGCAGGAGGGAATGAAAATGAACAAAAGGCTGCTGATGAATATTTTATGAAATCTAAAACAGAATAAAATATCCTGAAATATTCATTCCATTGCTAGATTATATAATGATTCATATGAACTTTTCAAGTGATGCAATTGCTCTTCCATTTTAAAAAGTATAAGTAATGTTGCATTGTGAAAGACTTGTAAAATTTACTGAATTTGTTACATTTTTTTCTTATGATGATTAATAAAATCCAAAATCATACACCCAAGCCTGCAAATCATCAACTTTTTGAGAATCCTATAGTGAAAATTCATGTAAGCAGATGAAATTTCTTTAAATTCTTCTCATTGAGTGGGTGGCCTAATGTTCATTCTGTCCCACATTCTGATAACAGGATTGTTAGCAAAGTGGTTGGGAAAATTGAGATAGCCAATCAACAAAGGAAGTGAGGCTGTGCAACTTGACATGAAGAAAACTAAAGACTGAGTTCCCAATTCCCTAATGATAATTGTCGGATATAAGAGGAATGGCAGAATTTTGAATGACATTATTTAACTCTCCTATGCCTGACTTTTCAAATACATTCTTTGAGAAAATTGGGTAAAGAATTAGAAGTCCCACACCATATTCTGCTTCCTGCCCTCTACTTAGCATCTGCCATTGTCTTAATGTCCTTGACACAGAAATATTATCTTTATTACTAAGCACCAAGTATAGTTTTATATAATAAAAATCATGTGTTCAATGACCACTATTGCAGCATTAATGATTAAGTGAGAACTTGTATTTGTAAAATCATAGAATGGTTATTAGCACATAAGGCTATTCATTTGAAATCATCAGGCCACTCTGCAAGATCAACTCAGCATGTTCCATTCCCTGACACTTCTCTCATAGCCCTGCAAAGTTTTCCCTTTGGTATTTATTCAGTCCCCTGTTGAATGCTACAATTGAATCTATCTCCAACCTTCCTGTGAAGCTGTGCATTCCAAATCATACCACCCACTGTAAAATAGGTTTTTCTTTGTGTTGCTGTTGGTCCTTCTGCCAATTAACTTTAAATCTATATCCACTATTCTTGATCCTTTCACTGTTGGGAGTAGTTTCTTTCTGCTTTTGAATTTTGAATTATTCTATTCAATTTTGAATACCTCTATCCAGTCTCCCCTTAACATTCCCATCCTTCAGGAAAATAGTCCAAATTTGTTCAGTCTTTGAATACAACCTAACCCTGAAATTAATCTTGTAAATCTTTTCTGCATCCTCCCTAATGTCTCCATATTTGTCTTAAGTGCAGTGTTCAGAATTAATTACATTACTTGAGTTTATGCCTCTGTTTATAAAGCCGAGGAATCCCATAGACAAAAATAGAAATTGCTGGAAAAGTTCAGGAAGGGTCACTTGACCCAAAATGTTAACTCTTATTTCTCTCCACAGATGCAGCCAGTCCTGCTGAGCTTTTGCAGCAATTTCTATTTTTGTCTCTGATTTACAGCATCTACGGTTCTTTTGGTTTTTATCCAGGAATCCTATATGTCTTTTTAACCATTTTCTCAACCTGCAGTCCCACTTTATGATTTGTGCACACATATTTCTATGTTTCTGTTCCTACATTCCCTTTAGAATTAGTACCCTTTAGGTTATATTGCTTTCCCTTGTTTTTCCCACCAAAATGCACCACTTTATGCTTCTCTGCATTAGATTTCATTTGCCTCATTTTTACCCATTTTACTAGGCTGTATATGTCCTCATGAAGTTTATTCTGCAAATTTTGAAATTCAAACTCAATGACTTGCTTCTCAAAGTTTTTGTATTGTTATAGTATTGGAATATTATAGCTAACTACCTCTTCCCTTCCCTAAGGGTAATAGCAGACACACCTTCATCTACTACAGCCTAATATCTCAAAATTGTTATTCATTATACTTTAAGACATATGGAAAGAAGTAACCCCCGCCCTTAAATTTTTGTTTTTATTTTCCTTCCCTTCTCCTCCCATTGCTCTAATCTTTAATTACTGCTCAAAAGATTATGTAAAGGAGAGGATTCACTTTCACCTGAATTAGATTTTTTTTCCATTTTTGGAATATTTTTAGAGCAACATGTACATAATCTGCATATTAGTTTTATATAACTCACTTGGAAAAGAATATTTGCGCAATGCTGCAATTTTTTTAGGATTAAAATACTAAATATTCACTGGCATAAGTGTATAATATGAAAACTAACTTTTAGTATGTTAATTAATGTAAAAAGATGGTTGTATTGAGTTAAGATGTCATAAAACACAATGTAGATTGTATCCAAAACCAGTGCAATTTTTTTTGTTTTTAGAACTGTTTACTCGTGAGTATCGACAATAATTTTCAGCATGTAGATGACAATTGCTATCTGAGCCAGTTCCTAATATTCCTGTTTTGTTCACATTGCAAAAGTCCTGTAAACCAAAATGTGACCTTTGTATGAATTATGAGATAGTGGAGCATAGGCGATGATAAAGCTTTGTCTTATTCAATTATACAAGAAAATAGGTGCCACCACATACAGTTAATCTGTTTGAACTGGTAGAAAAACACCATGATGCTGGATTTGGAAATTAGATCATCACTGACTCAAGTTTATTGACAGAAATAAAATGATAACAGAATTACAAATTAAATTATTACTGACCTCATTAGTTCAAGACTCATCGTTTTTTAGCAAGCATGAAGCTGAGCTTTGCTGAAGCAAAGAATGGCTCTAACGATCATGGGATTGCTTCATTCTCCAATAAATTTTATAAGAAGTTGCAATTCCCTCTTTACAAATGGTTCTTTAAGTTCAACATTTTATAAAGAACAAAATTGCAGTGACATCAGGTTTGGATCAACCATAATCCTGTTCATTAAAACCTCCCAATGTTCTGAAGATCTCTGAGCTAGTTGAAGTAACACCACACAACACTTTGAATCCCTGCAGAATTTAATATCTATTCCCTCCCAATCATACATAGTTGCCATGACCTTTTAGACTCCTTGACTGGAGTGAATGGCTGTTTTGGTTGTGACAGGAATCCTCAATTTCTTAATAGGGTTACATAATAACAGTTATATCACCTTTTCTAAAATCTTTTACTAGCTAACCCATCGTCTGTCCATGATAATATACTATATCCAGCACAACAATTTCATTAAATGGTGGAGCAGACTTGATAGCCTGAATGTCCTACACCAGCTCCATTGTCTTACGGTTGTACAGCCAGAGGGACTTGGTTTGGTTTTCCTGATGGTCAGACAGTTGTTATTCCAGCATATATGGGGACCCTGCACAATCCCCATCATAGCAAACACTGAAGGAATTGCCCGAGAAATTGAAGATTCTACTCTGCAATTCCTATACACTTGGAACCCTTAAAAGTCTCCACTTAGAGTGGAGAATTCAAAGGGTTCCAATGAAATTAAGTACAATAAATGCTCAGGATATGTGAGATTATCAATACATAGTCCAACTTCTGAGTAATTTTTTAGCAGACCTCATACTTATGTGACATATCTCCAACTACACGTCCCCAGACCCTGACCTGATACAGATCAGGAGCCTGGGACCTGACACCCCCCATCTTCCCCACTGTTGGACATGCCCCTTCACACCACAATCTACATTCTTCCTGATTACACCCCACTCCTCTGCCAATGCAACCAACCCACCTGGCACCCTATGTACCTTCCACAGTATCCCCATCATCTGGCATCCTACCTCCACTCACCTGGCACACTATTTACCTGACACCCTACCCACATGGCACTTTACCCTTCCAACAACCTTTTTCACTTTAATCATTCTCTCAGTGACCCAGTACAATGAACCCTACCCCCCAGACTTGGCTATTCCCACACTTGGCATTCCCAGAGTTGCTTACTTTGTCAGGCCTCCATGGATTTCCTCTAATAAGTCCCTCTGGCTGTATAACCATAAGACATTGGAGCTGGTGTAGGACATTCAGGCTATCAAGTCTGCTCCACCATTTACTGAAATTGTTGTGCTGGGTATAGTATATTATCATGGACAGAGGATTGGTTGGCTAATAAAAGATTTTAGAAAAGGTACTATTTTCAGGATGGCAACCTGAAACTATTTGAATGCCAAATGGATCAGTGCTGGGGTCACAACTATTTAAAATTTATTTATAACTTAGATGAGGAAAGTAAATGTGATATCACCAACTTTGCAGATGACACAAAAAATAGGTGGGAAGGCAGATAGTAAGAAAGACACAAAAAGTTTATAGACAGCTTGAGAGAAGGACAAAAACTTATCAAATGGCATTAAATGTGGAAAAATGTGAGGTTATATAATTTGTTAGGAAGAATTGAAAAACTGAGTTTTAATTAAATTGCAAAAGACTGTAGGAGGAGACAGCATAGAGGGCTTTGGGTGTCCTCATGCATGAATTATAAAAAGATAGCATCCAGGTTCAGTGAATAATAGGAAACAACTGTTGGCATTTATTTCAAATGGATTGGAGTATAAAAATAGGTTGATTTTGCAAAAAACTAAATAAAGCACTATTTTGACCTTACCTGGAATACTGTGAACTATTTTGGTTCAGTTATCTAAAGGAAATATATACTGACATCGGGGACAGTTCAGAGAAGGTTCAGTAGGTTGAATCTGAGTATGATGGAATTTTCTTATGAGGAAAGTTTTGAATAGGTTGGGCTTCTACTCATTGGAGCTTAGAAGGGTGAAAGGTGACCTTAAATATGTGAGTTCTTAGGGGGTTGACAGGATAGATGTGGAGAGGTTATTACTCCTTATGGGATAGCCTAGAACAAGAGGGCACATGGTCAGAGTTGGGGATTGTCCATTTAAGATAGAGATAAGTAGAATTTCTTTTCTCAGGGAAGTGAATCTATGGAATTTTGTAGCACGAACAGCTGTCAAGGTTGGGTTGTTAAGCTTCAACAGACTTAATTAGTAAGGAAATCAAAGATTATGAGGATAAGGCAAGAAAAGTGAGGATTAGCAGATCAGTCATAATTTCATTGAGTGGCAATGCAAATTCTATGGGCCAAATGGCCTGCTTTTACTGCTATATTTTATGGCTTTATGGTCTGAAATGAATTATATATGTTCTATGAATTGGTCTCCACAGTATTAGTGTTAATGAAGTTTATCCACTTTATATGTAGATTGAAGTCCTTCATGATTGTTACCCTTTTTACATACATCTTTAATTTCTTGAGTTATTCCATGCCCTAAATCACTACTACTGTTTGGTAGCCTGTA